ACATGTTTTTATTAAGTATAATGTGATTATCGTGAGCTGTGTCATGATGTACAGGTCAGTGAAGTGCTAGTAAAATTGGATGCACCATACCAAATTGAGATGCTTAAATTTGATCCTGCATATTAGCCTGATCAATAAGGCACAATATTGTGTAATCTGCAAACCATGACATGTATTCTAACATGATGCTTCTGGCAGACAATCCTGCCAGAAGAGGGTAGCATTGTCTTCTATTTAGGTTTGATTTTGTTAAATTTGCTTTCAAAACATGATTCACCATGATGTGCATCCATTTTCTGGGAACTAGTCATATTTGTATGCCATAAAACAATATGATTCCCACAGTGCTTCAAATCAACAATTTGGACACTAAATTTTGATATCAGCCCCAAGTTAAAGGTTAAATCCTATCTTTGCCCCAGCAAGATCTTGTCAAGATATCCAGTGATTGGCAGGCTGCATCAGTGCCTTGCACCTTATGAAGCATCTGGCTCTATTTTTTTAATTTAATGTATTTTTGGATCTGTAAGTATACCTGCTAGGGCTTTACATTTCTGAAGGATCTGAACACATATATAGTAGTTCTGGTGATGTCTGCATAAGAGTTAAATAAATATCTATTGCTGATATGCACAGTGTACATTGGAACGAGAGCCTCACATTTTGACAGGAACTTTGTAAATCTCTACCTAGCCCAGCAGGCAAAATAGTCCCTTTAGAGATAAACACCTATACAACATTGGTGTACTTAACCTTGAGCTTGTGTGCCTCAGTCATATAGCAGGTGAAATTGAACAAAATTTTGACAACATTTTCTAGCCAAAACAGCTTGGGCTACCTGTGTTTGATGTTGTCATTGCAGCATCACACTTCCTTGAAGTTTAGCTCACTACCCGCATAGAGCAGAGCTGACTGTGTGCCAAGAGTTCTGAGTGCTCAGATTTACTATCATTGTGAGCTGAAAGTGTTGCTGTGATGTTGCAGCCATGTTGAACATGTTCAGCACAGCATGCATGCATTGCATTCTGGTATATAGTGCTCTGATCAGTTAACCATCTTCCATGGATGGCCTTAGGGGCAGTGGGCTGCTTCCAACAGGAACAAGTCAAAGGTTGTTATACTTGGTGCTAAATGCTGCTATACTTTCAAGATTTAGTGCAGATTTTAGTAGAAGTGACCACATAGATGACATACTCAGCTGCTACATGCATTCATTGGCTGCTATCAAAGCCACCACTTAATGGCCATCATGAGTGTGGGATGCATTGCAGTTAATAGCAGATATGCATGAAGATATCTGAAGACTGGCATGCATAGAATTTATACCTGGTGAGCATGGCACAGAGCAAAGTTGGCTCCTTCCATGCTGTGTACCTGTTCTCCTGCTGTGTACCTGTTCCAGATGTATACCTGTTCTCAAGTTGCATTATCAATCCAAGCGGACTATTACTTTTCAAAAATTCAACTACGTCATTTTACAATGAATCTTAGATGGATGTCATTTTAATAAAGGCTCAAAGCTATTTATCCCTTTGAGGGCAAACATGGCAGGTACAACAACAAGATATGTGGCACCAGCCATATGCTGAATTGCCTAAAGCATCTTGCCTTTGACCATGCTATGAACCAAAGTGTGCCATAAATTCAGAACCTCTGCTGTGTAGTTGCTCCATCCAGGTCCAGGCCAGGTCAAAAGTTTTCCTCATTATAACAGCACAAAGTAAAACTTTAAGTGAAGGGAAAGGCATTAACTAAGCTCTGAAGAGTATCCCATGGTAGTATGCAATCAAGTACAAGGCTGTTTTGTTGTAGCCATAATCCCACTAGTTTTGGAATTTGCCAATATGCTTTAGATTCAGGACCAAACCATTCCATAGGCAGGTGGTCAGCAACCTGGTGTGACATATATCATAGCCAAAGTATATATGGCAGTACATGGCAGTAATAATAATGATAGTTTTACTACACATTGTTGAAAATTTGGCTTTTAAAGGTGGCTGTTAATTTCATTGCATGTATGGTGAGCAAGGCTAGTCACTGATTCAGCACACATCAGTTATGTGTAGTCATAGGCCATAGGCAAAGGCAAAGACAGACTATGGCAACCAATCAGCCCCAGCCTCTGGCAGCTGGCCGTAGAGGTGCGCCCAGGTGCACATACTATTAGCGCACTACACTACACTACACTATCCAGTCCCCAGCTTGCAGGTCCGTCGGCATCCACCTCCACACAACCCTACACCATGCACTTGGTTCCATTTGCTGTATCGCTCAGAGGGCGGCCTCGCCTCTGTCTGCGCCGGCGGTGAGGGATTACTCGCGCTTCAGTGGAGTGATCAGTCATCACCTCTGTGTCTTCGGCATGCCTCTTGGGATTTTCAGACTTAGTCATTATGGTCTTGACCCTATTTGATCACGGAATTCTAGGTCAACTGCAAAATTAGGTGGTGAAGGTTCAACCACGTTTCTTGTGGGACCTGAAAGAGGTTGGCTTGTCGTGTTTGGCATGGCAGATTTCTGTCTTGTTTCAATTCCTGCATGGCCATAACTTGTTCCTGATCTTTGCAGGTGTCACTTACATCAAATTCAGCAAGACATCTGAGGCAGCTTTGGCCATGGAGGAAATGAACGGCAGGTGCATCGGTAATCACCCACGGCCACTTAAGGTCCTCATCGCACACAGGTACATACGCGGGGTCTCCGGGTCACTGTGTGAACGTGGTCCCTTGTGTTACATGTCTTACAGTTGGAGGCATACCCAGGTGCCATGGATTGTCAGAACAATTCACAATAGTTGCTTTTATGCACTTCGAGGTAGATCATGGACGCACGGTGCAGCCAACACCCACTGCTGTTGGGCCGCCGCTAGCACTGAAGCTTGGTCTGGCCGCGCTAGCGCTGGCCCCAGCCCTAGTGCTGTGCTCTCCCCGCTGTTGCGCACTGGGCGCCATTCCGCCATTCCTCTAGCCGTCGCTGTGCCCGTGCGGCCCGCCGCCCCGACGGAGCGGCGCGCTCACGACCGCGCCCGGTGTGGCCGCAGCCGAGAGCAGGGGTCGCGGCGCGAGCAGAACGAGGAGGAGCGTCTGCTGCGGCTGTTCGTCGTCGTGCCGCGCGCCATGACAGAGGCGGAGCTCAGGGAACACTTCCAGACGTTCGGCGACATCGACTACGTGTCCATCGTCAAGGACCGCACCACAAAGGAGAGCAAGGGCTTCGGCTACGTCAAATATCACAGGTAGGCGGGCTCGGGCATGGCGAGTGATGTGACTGTGTCAACCTGTGATTAGGAATTGCATCCAACATGTGTTTTATGTTTCCATGTTTCAATTTCTTGAATATGACCAGATTATCCTTTAATGACCAGATCATATATATGACCAGATAGGACCAGACCAGATATGACCAGGTTGTCTGTGAAATCTCAGAACAATTTTGCAAGTGTGGTGTTTTTTTTAGTATGAAAACCACTGTGGAAAATTGAACACTATAGTTCAGAATGTGGGACGTATTATGCCTCTTTTCAGCACAGTCTTACATATGTTTAATGATCACGGAAGGCAACACGATCCAGTGCCACTGATATTCTACTATCTTGTGCCACTAGTATTCTACTATCTGGTGCACTGATATTCTACTATCCTATGCCTCCCATGTTCTACTCTCTGGTGCCACCGAAATTCTGCTATCCCGTCTCGCCGACAAGTGAATAAGGATTTTCTAAAGAGCAGCTGAGACAGCAGAGCTCCCTAATGGTGGCACCAGCTTAACATATCCTGTGGTATCACTCCTGGTCACCTGTTCCCCGTCTTCCAGGATGTCGCACGCGGCCAAGGCGTACGAGAACTGCGACCGCTCGTTCAAGCCCATGTTTGCCGACCCAAAACCGCAGAAGGACATGCGGAACGACGGCATGATGCTCTCGGGCCCGGGCAGCTCCGTGTCGTCCTCCGGCTTCGACATGATGGCCTACAGTCAGTGCAGGCCCGCTGGCGGCCGCGGCCCGACCGGGCGGGGCTGGGAGCGGTCGCAGAGGCCGCTGTACCAGGGGCAAGCTGGTAACTCATTCAGCGTTGCGGCTCGCGCTCTGCGGGCTTGATGTGGGCTTGATGTGTACCTACTGTATCGCCGTCACTGTGGGCTTGATGAGGGGTCACCTACAGTTTGTCTCATCATCTGCCGTGCGCTTGGTCGCGCTTTGACATTCGTTATTCAGCTTTTCATGCACTGACGAAACAATTTGCATCCAGGTGACGGTGTCGTGATGGTGCCGACCACTGACTCGTTCCGTGACGGTGCTGGTGACTTGTTTCGTGACGGTGCTGGTGACCTGTCCTGTGATGGTGCTGGTGACTTGTCCCGTGATGGTGCTGGTGACTTGTCCCGCGACCAAGCTTGTGACTTGTCCCATGACGGTGCTGGCCACTGACTCGTTCCGTGACGGTGGTGGTGACTTGTCCCGTGATGGTGCTGGTGACTTGTCCTGTGATGGCGGTGGTGATTTGTCCCTCTACGGTGATGGTGACTCGTTCCGTGACGGTGCTGGTGACTTGTTTCGTGACGGTGCTGGTGACCTGTCCCGTGATGGTGCTGGTGACTTGTCCCGTGATGGTGCTGGTGACTTGTCCCGCGACCAAGCTTGTGACTTGTCCCATGACGGTGCTGGCCACTGACTCGTTCCGTGACGGTGGTGGTGACTTGTCCCGTGATGGTGCTGGTGACTTGTCCCGTGATGGTGCTGGTGACTTGTCCCGTGATGGTGCTGGTGACTTGTCCCGCGACCAAGCTTGTGACTTGTCCCATGACGGTGCTGGCCACTGACTCGTTCCGTGACGGTGGTGGTGACTTGTCCCCGTGATGGTGCTGGTGACTTGTCCCGTGATGGTGCTGGTGACTTGTCCCGCGACCAAGCTTGTGACTTGTCCCATGACGGTGCTGGCCACTGACTCGTTCCGTGACGGTGGTGGTGACTTGTCCCGTGATGGTGCTGGTGACTTGTCCCGTGATGGTGCTGGTGACTTGTCCCGCGACCAAGCTTGTGACTTGTCCCATGACGGTGCTGGCCACTGACTCGTTCCGTGACGGTGGTGGTGACTTGTCCCGTGATGGTGCTGGTGACTTGTCCTGTGATGGCGGTGGTGATTTGTCCCTCTACGGTGATGGTGACTCGTCCCGTGATGGTGCTGGTGACTTGTCCCGTGATGGCGGTGGTGATTTGTCTCGTGACGGTGCTGGTGACTTGTCCCGTAATGGTGCTGGACACTGACTCGTCCCGTGACGGTGCTGGTGACCTGTCCGTGACGGTGCTGGTGACCTGTCCCGTGATGGTGCTGGTGACTTGTCCCGCAATGGTGCTGGCCACTGACTCGTTCCGTGACGGTGCTGGTGACCTGTCCCGTGATGGTGCTGGTGACTTGTCCCGTGACGGCGCTGGTGACTTGTCCCGCGTCGCCGGCAGAATTTTGGTGCTGCCGCTGCCACTCGTTCACCCCGTTTCCAGTCTGTGTCGTATCTCCCTACGTTGTCCCTCAGCCCCCCCCCCCCCCCCCCCCCCCCCCCCCCACTGTATTCAGATTTTGTCTCCGTTCCTCCATCCCTGGCCCTCCATACCTGTCCCTTCATTCCTGTTCCTCTATCCCAGTCCCTCCACTGACCCGCCGTCTGACCTGACCCGCGACCGCTGACCCGCCGTCTGACCTGACCCCCGACCTCAGACCCACCGTCTGACCTGATCCCCGACCGCTGACCCGCCGTCTTACCTGACCCATAACTGCTGATCCGTCGGCTGACCTGACCCCTGACCGCAGACCTGCCGTCTGACCTGATCCCCGACCGCTGACCCGCCGTCTTACCTGACCCATAACTGCTGACCCGTCGGCTGACCTGACCCCTGACCGCTGACCCGTCGCCGCAGCGCCGCCGTCCGGCAAGATGGCGCCGCTGCCGCCAATGGAGGCCACGCCGCCGGCCGAGGCGTGCACGCGGCTAGGCGTGGTAGCCTCACCCACACTCAACCAGGACCAGCTCTGGAAACTGTTCGACCTGGTGCCCGGCCTGGACTTTATCGACCTGCGGCGCGACAGGAAGTCGGGGCAGGTGAGCGGCGCGGGCCGTTGCCGAGCGGCGCCGCCACTGGCGCCCAGTCTCCCCCCGTCTGCTGTTACACGGCCGTGCATCGCTCGTGCGGTTGCTAATTGCCGTTCTCTTTTGGAGGTGCCCGCCGTATGGCATGACGTACGCCGCTGGTTTCGTGCCGTTCGGTTGGTGCTGGTGGTTGGTGCGGCGGGAATTTGGACGTGAAAGTCCTTCGATGCTATGGCTCTCCGAGTGGTACGCTGTCGGAGTGCCGGCCCCGGCTGTGCAGCGCCGTCGGTAGGCGCGTGCCGCCGGTCCAGCCGGACCGCGCTCCCCGGCCCCGCCTGACGCCCCGCCCCGTCCGCGCCCAGGGCTTCGCGTCCGTGCAGTTCAGCAGCATCCAGTCGGCAGCGTACGCCAAGGAGAAGCTACACGGCTTCGAGTACCCGCCCGGTCACCGGCTGATCGTCAAGTTCGACCCCGGCCACGACATAATGTGAGGTCCCCGCTGGTGGGCAGCGGATGGTGGAGCGGGGAGTCCCGGTGTCGCGCGCTAGCCCAGGCTGAGTGTGGGGAACCTCCACCAGAACCTGTGCGGGCCAATTCCTTACCGATAACTTGGTGCTGCTATGAGGTGAACGGTCTTCTTATATTATAGGAATGACGTTTATGAAAATGTATGCACTGATAAATTATGTCCTGCGAGGAACGGCGCAATGGTTTGAGGAACTGAGCAGACGTAGTCAGACCACGCCACATTACCGCACGGGGAGCGCAGTCAGACCCGAGCGGGTTGGCGGACCGGCCGACATCACCCGGCTCGTCAGGAGGCGCCGCTTTCACCGCCAGCCCCCCAGCGTACGCCTGGGTCGGCGGGCTGCAGCGCCGCACTCTGGCATAATGAGACCCCGGAGCGGCATGCAAATGTGGCCGTTTGCAGGCGTCGCCGCGCCGCCAGACGGAACCACGCGTGCCGCGTCCCCAATCCGACGTTGCATTCCGTTCCTGTGACGCGCTCCGAGCGGGCGGGACGCTACCTGAGCCGGCTCCCCGGTCCTCTGTGACCCCCGGCCTCCGCGGGCGTAGCGGACGCCGGTCCTCTGTGACCCCCGGCCTCCGCGGGCGTAGCGGACGCCGGTCCCCTGTGACCCCCGGCCTGCCGGGCGGGCTGGACGCCACCTGAGCCGGCTCCCCGGTCCCCTGTGACCCCCGGCCTGCCGAGCGGGTGGGACGCCACCTGAGCCGGCTTACCGGTTCCCTGTGACCCCTGACCTCCGTGGGCGTAGCGGATGCCGGTCCTTCGTGACTCCCGACCTCCGCGGGCCGGACGGGCTGGACGCCACCTGAGCCGGCTTCCCGGTCCCCTGTGACCTCCGGTCTGCCGAGCGGGTGGGACGCCACCTGAGCTGGCTTCCCGGTCCCCTGTGACCTCCGGTCTGCCGAGCGGGTGGGACGCCACCTGAGCTGGCTTCCCGGTCCCCTGTGACCTCCGGTCTGCCGAGCGGGTGGGACGCCACCTGAGCTGGCTTCCCGGTCCCCTGTGACCCCCAGCCTGCCGAGCGGGTGGGACGCCACCTGAGCTGGCTCCCCGGTCCCCTGTGACTCCTGACCTCCGCCGGTTGTGACGCCTCGGTTGATCACGCTGCATCGCCTGCACGGTTCATAGGCGAGTCGAAGATTGCTACGACTTACACTGCAGTTGTGACGTCAACGGGCAAGCCGAGCCCTCCAAGGCGAATCTATTGTATGGCGAGAAGTGGCATGGGTGCGCGTTTTGGAACGCACAGGGGGAAATCTGGGCCTCGTGACAGCTGCCCGCGGAGGAGAGGATGAAATGGACCCCGGAGTTTGATCACAGGGTCCGGCAGCCTCTTGCCCACCTACATCACGCTGCCAAGGCTACGTACTGGAGAGGTCTGCTCAGCTGCCCGCGCTTTTGTGTGGAGGGTTTGTTGGCTCCGCGCGTCGCTCTGCGACAGACAGCGTCAGGTGTGAAGAGCAAAACGGTCGGTCGCCTGTGTCAGTGGTGGGCGGAGAGACGTCTGCATATCATATAGGAGCAGAACGAGGCGGCCCTTGCTGGGACTGGAAGTCCGGGTCTTTGCGTGCCAGAAGGGCCGAGTCCATTGACATGCGTGCTGATTGGGGTGCTGGTGCGATGGTGCGTCACGCACGGGTACAGCCGAGTGATTGGTAACCGAATGGGGGTGTAATTCATCCATGGACGACGGTGCATTGCCGATGTTAGTGCGAATTGTGCGAACGCATATAAGCAGTTGGCTCAGCTCTCAACCTGCCATGTACCTATCGGGTGGTGTTTCTGTTGCCACTCAACGACACAATGGGTTAGTAATATTGGTAGATCAGCTCCATCGTCGTTGGGTGTGCTCTGCCCTCGGTGTCAGGGGCGATTCATATCACATGATACATATATATGTATATATATATATATATATATATATATATATATATATATATATATATATATATATATATTGGAGGTGACCACAACCCAAGAACTACGTTCCAGTGTCGTCGACCAGTGTGCTTGTCCTGGCACTGTAGCTGCGGTATTCCGCGGCACACCTATTCGTTCTGGAAGCCGACGGCCATACCGCCCCGTAGGCAGTGCCCCGTAGTCGGCGCCTGTGCATCGTGAAGCTTTGTATCGCCCTGGGTTGTCCCACTGTTGAAATTTGCGTCCATGGGAAGATAAACCGCCCAAAACTTGCTGACAACACTCACAACAGTAAAAGCCATGTCCAGCGAAAATCCCACTCCCCAAAGGGATTTCACTAAGTTCTACGGTTCGGCCCTTGCTCCCGGTGCCCGCTGCGGCCGCGTGCGCTGCTGTGCGCGGCGCTGACGCCGCCCGGCCGCGCCGCAGGATGGGCCAGCACTCGATGATGCCGCCGCCGCCGATGATGCCGCGCATGCCGATGATGCCGCCGCCGCAGCAGCCGGGCGGCGTCGGAAACGGCTCGTCGGCGCTGTCGCCGGCTGGCGCGGCGCGGCCGTCTGGCAACCTGCAGACGGACCTGGCGCACCTGGCCGAGACGATCGCGCAGGCTACCTCGCTCATCCAGGCCGCCGGCATCAACCCGCACGGTCAGTTAGCGCGCCCGACGCGGCCGCTCCCCTCGCGCCGGGCGGCTTGTGACGGCTGTCGCGCCGCTCAATTGTGTTGGTGTGTGTGTGGGCTTGCGTCTGGGTCGGTCGGCGGGCGAGGGGCGGTGCTGTTGGGAGGTTTGGGGTGTGGTGGGTCGGTTTTCGCGTCCCACTCACGGGTGGGCGTCGGCGCGTGTTCGGCGAGGTCGGCGGCGGCGGCAGAGCCCGCCCCGCCCGGCCTCGCCTCCGCCCGGGCGACTCCGCGCGGCCCGAGCGTCGGCGGCGCCGGCTGACGGTGCCGCCGTGTGCCGCAGGCGCCGGCGCCGACGCGAACGCCGGCTCGCCCATGTCCGGCGCGTCGGCCCTGCCGCCCGGCCCGACCGGCATGGTGATGTTCGAGCACTACGACCCGACCTACTGCTCGGCCAAGCTGCCGGCGGCGCAGCCGCTCGCAGCGCTCGACTCCACCGTGGCAGAGAGGTGAGACGAGCCGCGCTCCAGGCGGCGCTGCCGCGCCCCGCGAGCCGGCCGGTGGCGGCCCAGCCGACTGGCTGTGACCGGGATTGATAAGGGGATTCGCTGGTGTCCCTCCACGGTCGTGCTGCGATGTCTTCAGGGTGGTTTGTATACGGAGCAGCGGACCTGGGTGTGGTATGGTAGTTTTGCCTGTGGGAAGTGATTGAAGAAGGTGATTGGAACCGTGGCAAGTAGTGTATCGTCTTGTTCGCAGGACGGACATCAGGGTGGGAAATTTAGTTGTTTTTTTTTTTTTTTGCTGGTGGCGGAGTACAAAAATTTTCGCGGTTGGAGTGCAAACTTGTCTGCAAGCAGAAGTCTGTCTAATGTGGAATGAGTGTCTGCACAATGGGCCTTGGTTGGAGTACACTACACACTGCGTTTAATGCATCAACATTTTCCCAGTGTTTTTCAGGCAAAAATTAGTCAGCCTGCCATTTTCCATTTCAGTGGAACAGAACACTTCCTGTGAGTGAGGGTGCCATGCTGATCCCATCCATATCCGGGTAGTGCTACTAGCTCGCCTAAACATGCAAAGATTGATTAAGGGTATGTGTTAAGAAGTATACAGTTAGAGGGGTTAACAACAAAATTTTATACATATACATTCACAGGTGCATCATACAAAACTCATTTACATATCATTACCTATCTACATGCAAACTTATACACTGTCAAAATGATAAACCAGATGCATCCTCTGCTTACTGACAAACTGAATTGTGGACAGACACTTTGCATGACACCCTGTTTTTTTATAACTCTTAGGCAGCTGCAGCTGACTATGAAAGCCTTGTGTATGTGACATCACTAACATGAAGTCCTTGAGGCCTTAACAGAATTAATATAAACATACCAAAAGTGTTCCTCTTCCCATTCTTCTCTTTCTGCTCTTCTCCTCTTTCAGTTCCTTCCCTGCTCTTTCTGTCACTCTTCTCCTTCCACTCCTCCTCCACTTCTGCTCCTCCTCTCTTCGTGCACCTCCTCTATGCCTCTCCACTCCTCCTCCACTTCTGCTCCTCCTCTCTTCGTGCACCTCCTCTATGCCTCTCCACTTCTCCAAGTCCCCTATGATCCTATGCAGGGAAAATTTTAATAGTGTCACTGCAGGACCTAACGTCTGACAGCAAGGAACATGGCAGCACTGCCACCTGTCAGGTTACAGCAATTATAACCACAGGCTGAAAAGAGGCCAGCCTTATATTTGATCCCACATGGGAAACCCAAACCTAGCATTAATGTTGTATATAGATACCTTAGTACCTATGTACCTACCCACCATGCTGTAGGTAGAGCAGGTTACAACAAGGTAATTTTACATCGGTCTGCAGTGGTAAACATTTGTAGATCAGCTCCCAGGCACTTATTTACCTTTTTTGGAATTACTTAATAGCGGTCCAAAACTAAATCCCAACCAACTTTAGAAGTGTGTATGCATGCTGTGTGAAAATTGAAGACAACAAATTCCATTTTGCCTCACTGAGTAACTCAAACTCGCAACCACGATGCACATAATCCCAAGCAGCTACACTCCCGCTCCGCCCTCCTCACTCCCACCATAGCCCTGCTCCCACCACATCAAGACAAACAACCAAACCACGCACAGGAGTTCTGGCGCATTCCCAGGACATTGTGATGGCATTCTAGCACTCGTCAAGGGGCCAACCAAGTACAAGTACCACGGGTCGTTCCTGAAATGACAGGCTGTGATGAATAGTCTAAGAAAAGCCATTTATCCAGTTGCACCAACACAAATTGTTAAGTTTGTGGTAGAAAAATCATAGGGCCTTACAGCCATGCATTTCAAGTTGTAATTTGCCACCTACAAATATATCTTATCTTCTGGTGGCGCAAGACAACGCCGAGATAATGCAGTACCTGTACTACAAATCGATTGATATTTATTATTCTAAGGCATTTCACGTCATTTTAACACCCTCTAAGGAAGGCCGTGTCCGGGCGATACCAAAACACGTAAATTTTTCAATAAAATTTGGCTAACCTTGCCAAAAACTTGCTGTTCTCCGGCTTGTACTCCGGCTCGTTCTCTCCGGGCCTTCCCGTAGTCCCCATTGTGAGGAGGGCAACCAAGTACTGCGATTTTTTCCCACCGGGTTATGGACCGTCTCTATCTTACGAGTACAGGTACTGGTTGAGCCCGGAGACGTGGCACCGTTGTTAAATAAGTAAGATATCCTCGAATCTTCAAAGGCCGGCATTTACCGATTTCTTAACAAGTGGTTGACTTACTATCATGTACACAATAGTAATGATAAGTTTTGGAATGCTGCATGCCACAAGCTCCCATTTTGGGAACGTAATTCCCGATGACATTTCATAACCCAAAAGAAGCCGTTACCACCAAAAGTGCCGCCCACAAACGTGATATTTGGATGTCATTTAATGTCATGATTCTTAAAAGTGCCGATATGTGGTGTGTTTGAATGCTATGATTTTCAATTTAATTGCAAGTTGGATGATGATTGGTGGTTGGTATGGCAGGAGCAGGAATGAAACAAGCGCTTTGAAAATGATGTTTAATGCTGCAACATTTTGGAATTTTCCCACCAAACCGTTTGCGAAATGCACGCCCTTTGGTAAAATCGCTAACATGTTTTCTTAACATGAGGTAAGTTAAGAGCATAGTTGGCATCCTGGACTTCTTGCTCTGCGAGTCTTTTAATGATCTAGTTGAAATAGATGCGCCGTTGGTGATTTTCGTGCTGCTAGTGGTTTTCCGGTCGAACGAACATTGTTTTTAGGTGTCCCTTTCTTCCGACGCGGGGCCTTCACTACGCGAGAATGCAGCTCGTCAGTTGCAGGACGGTGGGCTGCCATAAGTTTCGGGTACGGGAGGCGATGGGTTCGTCGCGTGGTGGGAGCCGGCGCCGTGATGTGTTTGTCCGTTTCTTGAGAGAGGTATCGGCAGGTGTGTGCGTCGTGGAGAATGCGGTCTTACTCAGGTGCGCCATATATTTTCGCCACAGGTGACATCTGAGGTATGTGGCAGCGCTAGGTACTTAAAACAAGCACATTTCATATTCCAGTTTATTTCATTTCCACAGAAGTAGCTCACATGAGTCGTCATCCCCCTTCGGGAGTTGCATAGGCTTGTACAAGTGCATCTAACCCATGTAATACAATGATGAAGGACATTGACATGAACACCCTGGATTGGCCAGCTCCTGCTGGATTGCAGATGCTTGTTTCCATTTCTCGGGGCTCCATATGTTTGGTCCCTGGAAATAAATAAACTTTATGACTCACTTTCTGACAACAAAGTTCATGCACCCTCCTGGCTATCAAGAAAGTAAAACTGTCTGCCTTGGTACTTATACTCAGGCTCATACATTTGCAATGGTGCCTTTGCTTTGTGGGGCGGACTGCAGCGTTTGGAGTACAAAAATTGTCGTTCTTGCCGGTCAAGAGCCTGGAGTACAAAATTTCCTGGTGCCACATCCACCAGAAAACGGAGGCTTTTTCCCACACTGATGGACATGGAGTTCGTTTCCGTATTTTGTGTCACATGCATCACATTGCGCATTCGCGTAGTTCGAACATCGTTCGGTACGACAGCAACTGCGACCGACGTCAAACCCCTTTTGTGTTGCTTTTTATGTGTGTGTGTGGGGGGGGGGGGGGAGGAGAATAATCACTGAAGCTTGCCGTGTATAAAACGTTAACCATAGTATGATTCGTCCCGGGTTTTGAAAATGCCCGACCCAAATCGAAGTCAGCAAAGACCCACTCCGCGGACCGTTCTACAGTGTTTCAAACGGGACCCGGGTGCATGCTCTGCTGATGAGTGGTCCGATATCACAAGCCCCCCCCCCCCTCTCCCCTTTGACGATGTGCCTGCGAGTTGAATTGATTACCCTGGCTTCTGAAGACTGCTGCGGTACTGGAGGGGAGGGGGGGGGGGACCGAAAATTGACTAAGCTGCAACCTTTAGTAAGTTCCCTTCAAACGACTAGAGTGCGGTCTGGGCAGAAAACTGTATTTTCCGTCTGGTAACTACTGGATTGTTTTTTTTTTTCAAATTGCCGCAGACTGTTGGTTTATCGCCCTGAAGTTGACTGTGATTAAGTCGACCTTCCAACTTAAGCATAACGCTGTGAATGTTGCGTTGGTAGTGTGTCGATCTCCCCGCTGTGATTTAGTAAGTGACGACGAACAGACTGGGTGTCCACGGCAGAAGCCAGGCCGTTCGGTCACGCCGTGCAGCTGCAAACCGTCGCATGTCACGCACATATGACCGTGGCTGACGACTGGCGAGTAGCCGGCGAGCCGCGAACGCGTGGCGGCACCCCGACTGACCGCGCGTGCGCCCGGCCCAGGCTATTCATCGTCTGTCAATCCGGCGCCGCCGCCGCCGTACGCGCTGAAGGATGTGTTCGCCCGCTTCGGCAACCGTCATCGACATCTACAATCCTGAACGGCAAGACGTGCGGCTACGCCAATACGCGTGCAAGGAGTCGGCCGACAAGGCGATCCAGGTGGGTCTCGGCCGGCGGCCTGGCGGGGACGCGGCGATGGTGGCGGGGCGGCCGCACAGGGCCGCCGCTTCAGCGTGTGCAGCGGCGGTCCCTGGCCGCAGCTGACGCTCGATACACGCAAAAGATGCGCTCGTGGACGCTCGTTGTTGTCCGTGACCAGTCCGGTGGAAAGCTCGCTCTCCTTGCTGCATGGCCGTGATAAGGGCCGTTTGACGAGCACCCCGTGTGTAGGCGGCAGGCACGTCTGCTGGCTGTGGGCCGGCGGCCGTGCCGTGCATCCCCGCGCCGCCTCTGCCGGGCGGGGCTGTGAGTGGACCGCGGCGTGCGCTCCCTCGCCGCAGACGCTGCAACCGGGCAGGAGCTGTGCGCGCCAGGCTGAAGGTGATGCCCGCCGAGCCGCAGGACAAGGTCGACACCGGCCGGAAGCGCATCAAAATCGACGACCAGCAGTTCTGAGGAAATCAAACGCTGGACAGGTCAGTCGACGGCGCCGCCGCTTCTCGCCCCGCCCGGCCGCCGCTCCCCGCGTCCCGTCTGCCCGACTGGGGAGGGCTGGGCTGGGTGGGCCGCTCCGCTGACGCCGTGCCGACCCCGGCACTGACCCGGACGCGACTTGGCCGTCGGACCAGGCTCACGAGCGACGCGCCGGGCGCCTTGTGTGTTCACGTTGTATTCCCGCCCCGACCCGAGGCTGATTTGGTGGTCGGATCAGGTCTGCGTCGCTCGCCGGCCGTGACCTCGCGGCACGCGAGAGCAGGTCGGAGGCGGGCGGCCGTCCCCGCGCGGGCCTGGCCGCGGCGCCGGCGTCGTAGCCGCCGGCACCGCCCCGGCCGCGCGCGGCGCCGGTGTCGCAGCCGCCCGGCGCGGCGGCCCGGCGCCGGACGGAGCCGAGCGGGCGTCGGGCGGACGCCAGCTGACGCGTGTGTGCCCGCAGGCTCTGACAGACTCACGCCACCGACGGACTCGGCTCCGGGACCGGCTGACTCGTGACGACAACCATCATGCGCGCCGCGCCACACACTACACGCACCTAGTTACACGGCCTAGCTGTAGAGATGTTCGTATGATCGCTCGACGTTTCTGTTCTCCCTCTTTTTGTCTACTTTCCCGCGACGGTCGTCG